GATCAAAAAGTGTGTACTTACTTTTGGGACACCCTATATAATAAGTAGTATCACAACCAGTAGTTGTTAGTATTACATCAAACAAAACCTTCGATGGCAAATGATCATCCCTGTAGATTCTTAATGACGAATATAACAATGTTATTGTAGATTTTGAAGCAGAATTACTGGGGCTTTTGCCAAAAATATGCAGCGTTGCTGTGAATGTCGTGCACTTTACTTGTTGGATTCAAGAGACTTTTGCTTTATTTTGTTGCTCCAAAATATCCATGCACGAGCTTTCTGCTTCGCTTTCGATTTCATTGGCTATAAAAAGCAGTAATGCTAATGAGATCAACGCAAAATGAGGCTCTTTTTTATAAACGTAAGTTTGCCGCGAAGCATTAGAGCTTGGTATAGCCTACTTTTAAGATAATCTTAATCACTATGCCCTTCCTTGTTCGAGGCAGGATTGATGATAGAGCAGCCAACAGTGTCCTTGCTCCTCCTTCGGCAAAGGTTTCTTCTAGTGCTTCTCGCTCAAAGGCAGTCAAAAGTCGTCGCCGTCGTCGGCCTACTGATTTCCGTCGTCAATTGACAAAATGGTCCATCGAAGTTGAAGTCGAAGAATGGGAGCCTGAGAAAATTGAGTATGGAGGAGGAAACCTCAGCAAGGATGAGAAAATGAAGAAGTATTTAGGTACTACTGACGAAAAAACGGAGTTCAAATGATATATCACTTTTAATAAAATATCAACAAAGAGGCTTGCTTCTTGTTGTGACTTAACTTAGGCACTGCTTGATCTTTCATGCAAGGGAGAGTGTCATGCATGGAAATCTTTTAAAAAGGCTCATTTTCGACATTTTCATGCGCGCAAAAGCCCAGATATGTTGCTGTGCGTGTTTTGATCGACGAATCTCTCATGGGAAATGAATTGCAGGCTTTTCTTTTTCTAATGCTCATTTGGCGTTGGCGGTCCCTCGCTGTGACATTCTTCAGTTTGTATTCGAGGGGGACAACACATATAATTCGGAGAAAATGTAGGGGCTCCGTGCGGAACCTCAAAAATAGATAAAATCGATACTTTCGAGGTTCCGGAACCTTGAAAATCTGGGTTCCTCATGGCGAGAAGGCCCGAAAAGTGTGAAATCTGGAAAACGAATTCCTGCCGGGACACTTCCTTCAAGTTCAGCTTCATTTGATCTTTGGCTGTAAGCTGAATCGCTTCTCTTCGCAAGGATCAGAATAAAACAAACTAGGATAATGTATTGGCAAAGGAAGTCTGAAGGATCATTAGATTATCTCACAAAGTAATTGTCTTTTGTTTGAATCCGTCTTTTGTGTTGTAGGTCGCGTATCGTCAACCAAGCAGGAACCTTCCCATAAGTGCACAATTTAGGGATTTACTCACGACATATTAGGTGTGGAAC